AAAAGTAGTCACCGGAATGATGGCACGGTGCTACACAAATTAGATATGAGAAAATAGTCATCGAAAAGATACACGGTGACTGCTAACATAATCGTTGGCCAGACGGGCAGCATTTATGGGTGCCACCCGTCGGCAGCGGAAGCTTTTTGATTTTCTACCAAGATCGTAGAGGCTTTGATACCATGTGAGAAATATAGGAAAAGAATATTATTGAATTGTTGTTGTTTACATTATTACATTGAGACCCTAAAATACAATCCTTTACCAAGTAGGATACTATTTAGTATTCCTATTTCTATTTCTATTACTATTCCTTTTCTAATAGAATTGTATATACCTATTTCTATTCTAATAGGATTGTATAAACCTATTCCTATTCTAATGAGATTGTATAAACCTATTCCTATTCTAACAATATTTACATTAGAGAATCTACACAAAAAACAAGTTCTCTACAAAGACAACCCATTCATATATACTAACTGGCATCTTGTGGGTTCTCCAAAAGTGTAAAAGAAACAAAAAATTACCATAATTTGTACAAAGATATATCTTTGCTCCCTCAAAAGTTCTCATGTTCCTCTCTCGGAAGAGTCCATATGAGTGTGAGTGGCACTACATTTCATGGCCACCATCTTTTTTTCCTACTTCTGAATACCCGACCTAACATGACATCGTTAACCGTACTTACATCAACCACGACTTCGAGGCCTTAATATTGTCATACCAGAAGCACCAGATTTTTCCTGTGATTGTGCAAGTTCTCTAAACAACTATGTTTAATCAGTAGTAACCAAGAAACTTGACCAAAATTGCAGCAGTTCCTACAGCAAACCAATCAAAACTACAACTAAAACAACAACTAAAGCGAGAGTAAAATTTCAGAAATTATTCACCAAAATATTTGTTAAAACTGAAATAGAAGTCCTGCATCAAAGCAACATAAAAAACTAGTTCATCTACAAGAATGCTTTCAACTAGAGAAGTGAGGTATGGCTTGGGCTTTTGTGTCTGCTTGTCAGCTCAAAATATTGATCCATATAACCATACTTCTAGCAAAGATCGTCCACAAAACGTTGCTTTGCAAATTGGGAAATAGAAGCTTAAAATCTATTTGCTTCATGTAAATCTTTGGTTGATGGATACAGACTGCACTACACAGCCAAAAGATTTATTAAAACTGAAATAGAAGTCTTGCATCAAAGCAACATAAAAAACTAGCTCATCTGGTAAAGAAACAATAGGCCTAGACTAATAGAAACTTGTATCTTCATACTAACCGAGAAACTTGACCAAAATTGCAGCAATCCCTACAGCAAACCAATCAAAACTACAACTAAAACAACAACTAAAGCGAAAGTAAAATTCCAGAAAATATTCACCAAAACACCTGTCAAAACTGAAACAAAAGCTCTGCATCAAAGCAACAGAAAAAACAAGACCAAAAACTGATCTACCATAGTAGAAAAAATGAGACCAAAACTGTAGGGAAGCAACATAAGCAACTGCACAAAAATTGATAACTAGTAACAAACTTACAATAAACTTAACTTTTACATGAGAGTTAATCTATTTAATAGATTTTACATATACAAAAGATTCTAGCATCCTCATGACCTACATTAGTCATACACAAAAGAGTGTGAACATAACTAGAGGATCAAAAAATGGCACTCCAATCAAAGTTTTGATTTGAAACTGTTAACCAATCAAAGTTTTGATTTGAAACTATTAGTAGAGCAAAAACTATCACACTAGTGCCACCATTTATATACACAAGCTTATCATACTTCAAAGTTTATCATTGATGACCATGAACATCATTGTCTGGCGCTCAAGCTCACCCATACGTAAAAAGATTTCCATATTTTTGACATCTTCACAGATAACCTTTTTAGCTTTGATACGTTGCTCTATGGTGTACAAATCAAATGTAGGAGATTCAATGATGGAATAAATTTGACCACGCATATCAGAGTGGTCACGATTTCCAATCTTTTCGATCAAGGAACCAATTCTTTTATCTTGGCTTTCAGTAAAAAATTTCATAACTTCCGCCATACTCTTGAGAAATGTTTCATTAACATCTTCCACAACCCTCTTTCTTTTCTTGCCTTTTTCTTTTTCATTGACACTAGAAGATGTTTTAGCATATTATTCACCTTGCTTTTCAGATGGTCCAGTATGTTCATGAGGAGATCCTCGAGCATATTCATTTTCAGTTGTTTGAGTAAAATTATGTCTTGTATCAGTATTTTCAGCTTCTTCAGCAGGTGCATTAGGTCCATGACTAGCTTCATCTTCATATTCATCGTCATCAACATTGATAAGAAATCCTAAACTCATATCAGTAGAAAGTCTTGATGTTTGACTCTTTAAGATATCCTCAACAGCATCCAGTGGCCCTTCTGCATGTTCTCCAGTTGCCCTATCTTTTCCAAAAATTTCCTCCCAATCCGCAAACAGTGGCCATTTTTTAGTATTCATGTTGCTTGCACCAGGATCATCCTAGACAAACAATAAAAGAAAGACGACAATTTTATATGTATAAATTATAAATTATGAAGACTTAAGAAATATTTATATGAAGTAATAATATTCTAATAGCAAAATATTAATTACCTTTAAAAATTTATCCCATTCTTTTGGATCATCAATAATTATAGTTCCATCACTATATTGAAATCCCAAACCACTCCTACCTTTTAGTAAACTTAAGCTTGCATAACATCTCTTCCAAAATTTTAATTTAGAATTGACATGTGGTTCACCTTTCAAGCCACTTTCAGGATGATGTTCATGCAAATAGTCCTCCAACTCCATCAGATATCCTGGCCTAAAAGTCCCATTATCAGCTCTCCAACCATTAACACATAACTCTTTCAAACCATTTATAAGAGTACTTTCTTCTGTAGGAGTCCATGTCCTTTGAGTTGACGGTGTTGCTCGTCTTGATCTTTTTGCTGGTTGCATTGAAGATTTTTGAATTTCCATTTGTCTGAATAATTTTGTGAAACAATCATTGTTAGTATTAGTTACCGTCATAAGAAGCGATTACTTAGCATCATAAAAAAAATTCATACACTTCAATGTACAAAAACAATAAATTAAAAACATACCAACACATCACAAAAAAGAAATAAATTAAACACATTACAAATTAATGTAAGTAATTGTTTCTTATATCATAAAAAGCTAAAAGTTGATGCATCTTACAAGAATATCAAAAACTAAAGGGAATAATAATTCAAATGCAGCATAAAACATATAACAAGCACAAAATAATGAAAGATCAATTGCTTGAGTTAGCATTCCACATTGATTGAGCCAACTCATCCCTCCATGTGGTCCACTCCTGAGATGATTCAACAACATCAATGTTATCTTGTTGATATTCTACTTGTTCTTCCACATCGATCTCTAAGGGATCCACTTCCATCTCTCTACGAATAAAGTTGTGTATCAAACAACAAGCACTAATAATCCTGTTATGTATCTTAACCGAGTACCAAGAAGGGCTTCTAAGAATTCCCCAACGTCCTTTCAAGAGACCAAATGTCCTTTCAATAACATTACGAGCTCTAGCATGCTTCATATTGAAAAGCTCTTCTCGACATTGGGGTGGTGGATTTTCACCTTGCCAATCCCTTAACCAATATCTATATCCTCGGTAAGGTGAAAGAAAACCATTTCCATTTGTATATCCTCCGTCGCACAAATAATAATTACCTATAATATAAATAAGAAATTAGTTGCTTTTATATAGCATTATTTTTGTGATATAATTTTAATGTGAGCATATGTATAGAATTACCCTCGGGAATTTTCAAACCATTCGTTCGAGTTATAGCATTTCGTAATACACGACCATCAGCCGCTGATCCTTCCCAACCAGGTAATACATAAGTAAAGTTAAGATTTTTATCACAAACTCCTAGTACATTAGTTGCTATTTCTCCCTTTCTTGTCCTGTATCTTGGTTTGTCCTTAGATGGAATTCTAATTTGAATGTATGTACCATCCAATGCACCTAGACATCCCTATAAAAAAATTATAACATTATCTCAAACAACAAAAATTTCTTCGTAAAATTATATTTATTTTACTTTTACATAAATTAATAGATACCCAATTGAAAGTGCATATACCTTAAACCATCTCCATCGATCGTCAAGCTCATCTTCAAGCACCGGTTTGGGGTTAACAAGTAACAATGGAGCTAGTTTTAGAATAGCTTTCAAGCATTCATTGAAAGCTTGACTTACGCTCCAGCCTGATCTAATATAATCAACCTTAATGGATCTATTCTTCTCATGATGAGCCAAAATATTTAAAAACATTGCTAACTTTTCACTACTTGACATATATTTGCTATCAGTTAGACCTCCAACTTCCTTAGTTAAGAGAACTAAAATGTGAAAAGAATTTCTATTCATCCTTAACTTATCAATACATGCTGTGTCACTATCTTGTACAATACAATTTAAATGAGATATAATTTTAGGAACTCAACTACTCATAAGGTACCTAATCACATGCCTATTTCTTTTTATAGAAATACCATGAATAACCATGAAGAGAAAAATAAACATAACAAGAAATTGTTGGCACAATATCTCCTCAAGGATGATAAAACATTCAATATCGGACTGTAGTTGATGATCCATAAGAAACCCTATTTTTTCATTAAAAAATGAAAAGAGTTAATACACAAAAAAAACAATTAAAAAGAACAATCTTTTTTCAAACTTTACAAAAACCCTAAAACATAACATTCAGATTTTTTTTTTGATTTCTTCCATTAAGTAGAAAAGATGAGTGTATCCAAATTATTATGCAACAGATCAGAGAATTATTAATGATGACAAAGAAAGAAAAGAGAAACAAATTCTGAAAATAAATAAATTAACCTTGTTAGAAACTTGAAAGTTGAAGGTTATTGGTAAAGAAGTTCTTCAATCACCCATCTATGGCTTCAATCGAAATGAAAAGTTGAGTGTACCCAAATGAAGAGTGATTCTTACTGCAATGAAGAAGAGAAGAAACATGGAAGCTAAGACCAAAGCGGCGTTGTGAAAGCTTATCAATGAAAAGTTGAGTGTACCTTTTAATAAATTTATCCCATCACAAATTGTGATGGGATTACTATACCACCCTTTTGGAGGGATCACTTATCCTGGTACTATTTATTAATCCCAGGATAAGTTATCCCAAACTTCCCAACCAAACACTCAATTAAGTACCACTAAGGCTTTATCCCAGGACTATTTGTACCTATCCTTCACACCAAACGACCCCTAAGGTAATAATTGCTAAATGTAGCACAGTCGATAATGGTTGGTTCTCAAGTGGAACAATGGGTGCGCATAGGGTAAGTGTATGAAAGGGAATTATTGAATGTAGAAATATGTTGGTGGAACATATTGGGTTTGTGGTTGTAATAGCACAAGAGTTCACTTTCTGAAGGAAATTATTGATGGTAGAAATATGTCGGTGGAACATAATGAGTTTGTGGTTGTAATAGCGCAAGAGTTCGCTTTGGAAGGAGTTATGGTGTGGGAATACTAGCCTAGAGTAAACTTACCTTGCTGATGGATTGTTTTAAAAAGGAGGATGAGGGAGTTGAATGAGATATCATGGAGTGATAGAGGGAGGACAGGCTGTAATTGGAGGGAAAGGGGATTAGGAATTTTTGCCTGTAAAATCATGCTACAGGGAGTTCATAGAGGAAGAGGAGAAGAAAGGCATTGGAAACAGTGTGGGCAGTAAAGCTCCAGATTCCAGAAAGAAGAAATCTTTTCACATGGTGTATTGTAAGGGATGGCTTCATTGACAGTGGATGAAAGGTATTTTGAAGACACTGGATGCTCCATAAAAAGATTGAAGTCAGTGTATTTTGTCTCTGTATTTTCGATGTAAAGAAAGCTTTGTAGAGGATGATGAATCCTTGGTAGATCTCACAGGTTCCCTGTGAAGATATGTAACTAATTATTGTAAGATGAACAAGATTATTGTCTCTGTTGGTGGATGAAAGGTGTTTTGAAGACAACAGTTGTTCCATAGAAGGATTGAAGTCAGTGTATTTTAACTCTGTAGTTTTGGTGTGAAGAAAGCTTGGTAGAGGATGATGAATCCTTGGTAGATTTTACAGGTTCCCTGTAAAGATCTGTAACTAATTCTTGTAAGATGAATAGATTTTTTGTCTCTGTTTAGAACTTGTAAATAGAGTGGCCAACACTCCCTAAATGCCTGATGAATACACTGTTACCATTAAGTAAAAGAAAGCTTCTATCTCATAGTCATTGATCATGCCTTTTCTTCTCATATAAGCGCTCTATGATGTCAGGGCTTTGAGATACTTAATTTCTTTTGTCACATTTTCATCCTAAAGCAAATTACATGTTATGGGCTCGTTTACAAATCTTTCTAGCTAGCAATGCTATTCTGACATACTTAATGCTTTCCCAGTACTTTGGAAGTAGGGTGCTTTCCAAATCACATTAGGTTCTGCAGCTTTTGTTGTTAGGTTGATGGAACAGCTGCTGCTCTTTGTTTGAATATTGAAACTCATCATGATGTATAATTGTTTAAGTAGATAGGCTTGGTTGCTTTTTCTACTGTGGCACCAAATGGACTAGTAAATATGCTTGCTGATGCTTGTTCTTTCCGTTTTTCATAGTTATTTGACAGAAAGGAAGATTCTAGATGGGATCTCTTTCATTGTTCCTGCTGGAAAAAGTGTAGCTATTGTAGGAACAAGTGGCAGTGGTATGGTTCCTTATTCTGTTTCAACTTTTCAGAGTTAATTTGTCTATTAACTTTGAATTTAATCTATTTAGGCCCGGATTTGCTGCATATTAAGCAAAAACAAATCATTTAGTTATCTAATCTAACAGGCGCGAGTGAAAAATGCTTATCTGAGTAGTAAAGATCTTCGGATGGCAGCACTTAAAGGAACCAATCTGTGGCATAGGTTACTTTTTTTTCTGAAGCTTCTAGGATGCATAAATGAGGGATACATTTTGAAGTTGGATAGCTAGAGATGCTCGTTTTAAGATTTTTATGATAATGCCCCTCTCTTGATCGAATTGTATGTGTGTATACTTTTTGAAGTTTGACTAGTATGATAATATGGCGTAGGACTTCTGCTGCAAACAACTGAAAAGGTTGTTCTTGTTTTTCCTTTTCTCTTTGTCCGTTTTCTGTAAACATCATTCTTTCGATTTTAATATAGGCCTGCCCCAGATCTGACCAATATATGAGATGCCTCTTAGCTGACTGTAGAATCCTTTTTATGTGTCGCTATAAATATTCAAGTGTGGGATCTCATTGCCGATTGGATGTTTGTGTGGAACCTAGGGATTACATACAGTTATGCGTATTGGTTATGCTATTTTTTACTAGTCCTGAATCCTGATCCTCATATTGCTTTCTGTTACAGGCAAATCAACTATTCTTAGATTGCTCTTCAGATTCTTTGACACCCAATCTGGAAATGTAAGATTAAAAGCTTGCCTCATTGCGGAATCATTTTTTTCTTTTTTGGATTAATATTGTGGAAGCCAAGGGTCTATCGCAAACAACCTTTCTACCTTACCTTCCAAGGGTAAGGGTAAGTTCTGCATACACTCTGTCCTCCCTAGACTCCACTTGTGGGATTGCAGTGGTTATGTTGTTGTTGTTGATAAATATTGTGGAATCTTATCTATACTAGTCCTGGAAAGCCCGTGCTGAGCTCGGGCCCAAGATCAAGAGAATAAAGTACTTCATAATTGTTTTAGTTGGATTTAAATAATTTGTGTTACGTTGTTTAGGCACATTAAAGAAATATGATCACTTCTTAATCATGTATTATTCATTATTTAAGTTTTCTCATTAGATCACTAGGTAATTTACTAAAATCATAATTTGTAAGAAAGCAAGTTTGCTAGGGAATAAGCAGATATCAAAGAGACAAAGATAATACAAAATGATTTCAACCTGACAATTATCATAAATTGAAGAAGATGTTTTTATATTTTATGGATTTGTGGCCATATAATTTCTAGTTAGAGTTGGAAATAGATTGTTTTAGTGTTTTTTGGTTAACTACTCATAATTTCATGTAACAATGGTTCATGCTTGAAAAGAAATGGTGATTAAAGTCTAGATTGAGATGAAACTCAGAAAAACTTAAATCCATTAAAACAAAGTTCAAAAATTAATTTAGTTTGTCATCAAATCATTGATCCTTTATTCTTAAAAGAAATTTTCTTTCCCAACCAATTAGGATTAAATGATTTCTGACAAATGAATTTTCTTGCAAGAAAAAAAAGTTCAACAGTATGTGACCATCAACAGTATTTAATAAATGTGGGATTGAACTGAGATCAGGTTTCATATTGCTTGGGCCTGTTTTTCATGACAACGTTTGAGAGCCTTGTGGTGTCTCTTATTATATTAAACCTGGATTGTTTGCCTTCACAATTTAAGGGCCTGTTGGTTTGCACAACTTTCACCTTATAGAATAAGAAAATTATAGCAGTTTTCTTGCTAGTCTTTTCTTGAAAATTATTTATTTTTCAATTATTTAATGATCACTTTTGAAAACTGACTAAAAAGCCTTAAATGGTATGCATGACGAGGACACTGATATTTTAGCATTTATCTCAAGAGGGAAGACCGACTGACTATTACTACAACTCGTATGTTGACAAATCATTGGCTGAATTCTATTTGCACTGCTTGTCAAACTGCTGATTAGGGACTTTTATTGCAAGAAATACTCATGGCATATAATTTAAAGTATGTTTGTGAGAAGGAATCTGACCAATGTCTTGATCAATCTTTGTTCATGTGCTTGATAAGCCCTACTTTTGTAAAGTTGCACAGTTGCACTTTCATCAACTGTTCATAAACCTGTGAGAAATATATGGGAAAAATATTATTGAATCGTTGTTCTAATAATTACATAGAGAACCCTATTTATAGACACTATATAATACAATTCCTTACCAAATAGGAGACTGTTGTTCTAATTATTACATAGAGAACCCTATTTATAGACACTATATAATACAATTCCTTACCAAATAGGAGACTATAAACTATTCCTAGTTTGTGTAGGATTGTGTTTTCCTATTCTATTCTAACACTCCCCCTCAAGCTGGTGCATACAAATCATATGTACCAGGCTTGTTACAGATGTAATTAATACAAGGACTTGTGAGGGACTTGGTGAAGATATCTGCAAGCTGATCATTTGACTTCACAAATTTTGTAACAATATCTCCCGAGAGTATCTTTTCTCTGACAAAGTGACAATCAATCTCAATTTGCTTAGTCCTCTCATGAAACACTGGATTTGATGCGATATGAAGAGCTGCTTGATTGTCACACACAAGTTCCATCTGATCAATTTCGCCAAATTTTAGTTCTCCCAGCAATTGTTTGATCCAAACTAGCTCACAAGTTGCTACAGCCATTGCTCGATATTCTGCTTCTGCACTGGATCGAGCAACCACACTTTGTTTCTTACTCTTCCAAGACACCAAATTACCTCCAACTAAAACACCATATCCGGATGTAGAACGTCTATCAAAGGGTGATCCTGCCCAATCAGCGTCTGTATATCCAGTGATATGCTCATGGCCTTGATCCTCGAAGAGTAGTCCTTTACCAGGAGCTGACTTTATATATCGCAGAATACGAACAACTGCATCCCAATGACCATCACAAGGAGAAGTCATAAACTGACTTACAACACTCACAAGAAAAGAGATGTCCGGTCTAGTCACAGTGAGGTAATTCAACTTTCCAACCAACCGTCTATACCTTCCAGGATTACTGAGTTGCTCCCCCTGTCCTGGAAGGAGTTTAACATTCGGATCCATAGGAGTGTCAAAGGGTTTACATCCCATCATTCCTGCCTCCTCAAGAATGTCTAAAGCATACTTGCGTTGATAAATAACAATACCTGATCTAGACTGAGCAACCTCAATACCAAGAAAATACTTCAATCTGCCGAGGTCTTTAGTTTGGAAATGCTGAAAGAGATACTACTTCAAATTAGCAATACCAACTTGATCATTGCCGGTGATAAAGATATCATCAACGTAAACAACCAAATAAATACACAAATTTGGTGTTGAATGTCGATAAAACATAGAGTAATCAACGCCACTACGAGTCATGCCAAACTCCTGAATTACTGTGCTGAACTTTCCAAACCAAGCTCGAGGAGACTGTTTCAGACCATATAATGACCGACGCAATCGACATACAAGGCTTCTAGACTCCTCCTGAGCAACAAAACCAGGTGGTTGCTCCATATAGACTTCTTCCTCAAGATCACCATGCAGAAAAGCATTCTTAATGTCCAACTGATGAAGAGGCCAATGACGAAACGGCAACCATAAATAGAAAAAGACGGACTGATGCTATTTTGGCCACAGGAGCGAAAGTGTCACTATAATCTAGCCCAAATATCTGAGTATACCCTTTAGCAACAAGGCAAGCCTTAAGCCGGTTGACTTGACCATCTGGACCAATTTTGACCGCATAAACCCAACGACAACCAATAGTAGACTTACCTGTAGGAAGGGAGACAAGCTCCCAAGTACCACTCGAATGTAAAGCAGACATCTCATCAATCATAGCTTGCCTCCATCCAGAATGAGAAAGTGCTTCTCCTGTAGTCTTAGGGATGGAAATCGAGGACAAAGATGATACAAATGCATAATGGGGTGAAGATAAACGATGATAACTCAAGAAAGTATAATGGGGATTAGTATTTCGAGTAGTTCGTATACCTTTATGAAGTGCAATCGATTGGCTAGCAGGAGGCAAGGCCACAGTGGGAGCAGGGTTCGGCACATGACATGAATCATTTGAGACTATTGCTGGACGTGGACGTCGATGATAAGTTAGGAGTGGTGGCACTATAACTGGAGATGGAGAAGATACCGTAGGTCCCTCAATAGTCGGGACAGGCAAGACTTGAGGTATGGGTAAGACCTCAGAGATATCAAGATGATCAGAAGATGTGTAGTAAGGTTGAGATTCAAAGAATGTTACATCGGCAGACATAAAATATCGGCGGAGATCATGTGAATAGCAACGATACCCTTTTTGGACTCGAGAGTAACCAAGAAAGACACATTTGAGGGCACGAGGAGCTAATTTATCTTTTCCTGGGGCTAAGTTATGAACAAAGCATGTGCTCCCAAATACACGAGGAGGGATAGAATAGAGATGTGACTGAGGATATAGTACGGAATGTGGAACCTAATTCGAAATAGAAGATGAGGGCATTCTATTAATTAAATAACAAGATGAAAGGACTGCATCACCCCAAAAACGCAGCGGAACATGGGATTCAATGAGGAGAGTGCGAGCAGTCTCAATGAGATGCCTATTCTTTCTTTCCGCTACACCATTTTGTTGAGGAGTGTATGGACAAGATGTTTGGTGAATAATTCCTTGGTGAGACATAAACTCCTGAAACTGGGATGATAAGTATTCTAAGGCATTATCACTACGAAAAGTACGAACAGAAACACCAAACTGATTTTTTATTTCAACAAAGAAGCTTTTGAATATAGAAAATAACTCAGAACGATCTTTCATTAAGAAAACCCAAGTACATCTTGAATAATCATCAATGAAACTAACAAAATAACGAAATCCTAAGGTGGAACTGACTCTACTAGGACCCCAAACATATTAGAATGAACTAATGAAAAAATAGACTCCGAACGACCCTCAGTACCACGTGAAAATGTGGCACGAGTGTGTTTCCCAAGTTGACACGACTCATAATCTAATTTGGACAAACTAGATAAACTAGGCACCATCTGTTGCAGTTTAGATAGACTCGGATGTCCCAAACGTTTGTGAATGAGGTCCGGAGGATCTGTAACAGAGCATGCCGTGAAGGAATTTGAAGAGGTAAGATAGTAAAGGCCTTGTGATTCATGTCCTGTGCCAATCGTCTGTCCCATACTGCGGTCCAGCATGAGAAAAAAATCATCAAAAAAGGTTATGCCACAATGTAGGGCATGTGTCAAACGACTAACAGATGCCAGATTAAAAGGGGAACCAGGGACATAAGGGACATAAAGAACAGAGTCTAGAGTGACAGAAGATAAGGGTGTAGCTTTTCCAACCCCTTTTGGTTTTGTTTGTATCCCATTGGCCAAAGTAATAGCAGGAAGAGATTGTGAATAAACAATATCTGACATAAATGATTTGTTACCACAAACATGATCAGAAGCGCCTGAATCCATGACCCATGATCCATGAGTATTAGACTGTGAAACATAAGCAAAAGAATTACCCGCAAAAGCAACATCATGTTGAACAACCGAAGCTACTTTTGTGGAGACATTTGCTTACTTGCTCGATATTGAAGGAACTCATCATATTCTGATTGAGCAATATGAGCATTATGGGATGGTCGATTAGGCGGAGCAACAAATGCTTTTTTGTGAAGATGTATGCTTACTTGCACGATTACGAAAGAACTCATTATATTCCTTTAGAGTAGCAGGATCATAACTGGGTGGTGGACAATGCAAATTATGACATATGTCACGAGTGTGTCCAGACTTATGACAATAACTACACTTGGATCGAGGTTTTCCAAGACGACTTCCTCTTCTTCGATTCTCCATAGATTGATATACTCGTTTTTCTATGGTTTGAGATGCGAGAGCAGAGGAATCAAAGGTCGGTGATGAAACTACTTTGTGGCTAGGAGGCGCGGCAATACGAAGTAGACGAGAGAATAATTCATCAACTGTAGGAATTGTAGGACTAGCTAAAATCTGATCACACACTGAATCATGGTCAGTAGAGAGTCCAGCAAGTGTAAGAACTAGAAACAACGTCTGTCTGTGTTCTTGTTGTTTGTCCACATTTGTAGTGATTGGCATCAACGTGTCAAATTCCTCCATGACTGATTGTACTTGACCCAAGTAAGTAGACATATCGGATTCTTGTTTCTTTAAGCTAGTCATTCTAGATATCACATCATAGAATCGAGATATATCATTAGTATATAAAGCACGAGCATTTTCCCAAATCGAATAACATGTTTGGGATGAGCGAAACAAGGGCATCAACTTGGAATCGATAGATTGCCATAGGAAACTACATAATTGAGCATCAACCTTCTCCCATTGTGCTTTGATGTTATTATCTGTCTCACTAGCCTTTGCCTTTTCATCTACCACATAAGTATTGTTGGTTAAGTGATCATGAACGTCTTGCTCCTTGCACCATAACTCAACCGAGGAAGCCCAGGCTAAATAGTTTGAGCTTCCTATTAATGGTTCTGAACTATCTGTCTCACTAGCCTTTGCCTTTTCATCTACCACATAAGTATTGTTGGTTAAGTGATCATGAACGTCTTGCTCCTTGCACCATAACTCAACCGAGGAAGCCCAGGCTAAATAGTTTGAGCTTCCTATTAATGGTTCTGAACTGATCATAGCACTTGAACTACCTATATTCTTAGAGCCAAAAATATCAATCCCTAAAGACATATTATGAATTTAGAGAGAGGAAAAAAAAATAAGGCTGGTTAGAATCTGGAAAAAAAAAAAAGGGTGATGTCGCCGGAAATTAGGTCTGGCTGCCCGAAACTGGTCGGAATAAGAAAATAAATATACAGTCTGCCTCGGAATGGAGAGGCGACCTCAATGAAAAAAAATTGGTCGAAAAAAACTGGCCGGAAAGTGTCACACGCGCCGGCGTGTGATGCGCGTGGTGACGCGACCCTGGTACTCCTGGCGGCGCGTGAGGGCGCGTGACTCGGTGAAACTCAGAGGAGCTCACTGGGGTTTCCTCGCCTGAGTGTTCCGCACCTCATGGTGGTGTGGGTTGTCACACTACACTTGTAAAACAAGACAACAATGCAAACCAGCCGTTGACAGTCACAGGATTCTGACTTTTTTTTTTTCTCACCAATGCTCTGATACCATGTGAGAAATATAAGGAAAGAATATTATTGAATTGTTGTTGTAATAATTACATAGAGAACCCTATTTATAGACATTATATAATACAATTCCTTACCAAATAGGAGACTATAAACTATTCCTAGTTTGTGTAGGATTGTGTTTTCCTATTCTATTCTAATAGTTATAAGACTTAAAACCAACTGGAAAATAAATGTGACTATCCATATGAACAAAAGTTGACGGAATAAAGGAGAATAAAATTTCCGATGATTAGAAGGACCACCGGAATCCAAACTCTGATTCAAAAAGTAACCTTTAGTGCATTACCTCGATACTTGTGCCTGGGAGCATTCTGGTAAACTCAGACACTCCAATTTCGATAGGATAAATTATTTTAAAATACATAAATCAAATTGAAGTCAAACTTCAGTTACTTTAATACAAATGATAGGGTAGAGGAGGTGGCTTTGACGGTCCCAGATTCCACAGTTTTACATCAACAAGGGTAGTAACTGAAATGAATTCTTTAAGGAATTCTCGATACTGAGAGAACTCTGCAAACTCATCTGCCGAAACCAAAATTGTCTTGCCCTTCTGATTTGTAGTCATATTTCCTCCTTTCTAATTGCTTACATGTATAAATCAAATCCCCAAAACATCAATATAGGAGAAGCAAGCAAACACAACCAAATACTCGAAATGCAGCTCTTTAATGTCACAATAAAGAACTTAAGAATAGTCAATTAGAAGGTTCCTAATAATATTATAACCCAATCAGAAAGTTGACAGCCAACTCACCCAACAAAATAATTGTAACTGAGTCAAATATGAACGAAGAAGCTACGAGGGAGAACAAAGGAACCAGCAATGAAGAACAAGCATCCACAAAACAATATAAATTGGATATTGAACAGAAGTCAATAGTAGTAGTAGCACCAAATAGCAAACAGATTTGAATGCGGAAACTCCAGGAAAAATAAAATGAACCTGGAAGTGAAGAAAATCTCTCAAAGTAGTGTTTTAACACCGGATAAAATTTGGGGTATGTCGGAATTGACAATCTGATGCTGGAAAGCCATCCCCAAATAAGTCTGCCAGAGCATGCATCGACGCGTGACATACAGGCGAGAGAATTAGGTGGCTCGTAAAGGCCACTCGTTTCACACCAGTAGTCGAAGAAAGCTTGTATGGTCAGAAAGGATGGTCTAACTCCTATGGTGGTGGTGACACAAATAACCAATTTAAAGTGATTGATTTGAAATCCAAGCCTCTTCCTACAAGACAACAAAACAAGATCAAGCTTGCTTTTCGAAATAGAGCCAAAAAAGATCAAAGAGTCTATATGCTCTGATACCATGTAATCAAATGGAAGTTAATGTATTATACTTATTCCAGCAGGTAAGCAAGATATAAATACAATACATTAGGTGCTAACTTAGGAAAGAAAATAAAGAGGAATTCCTACAAATCTGCTAGCTAATTATGCCTATGTACATTACAAAGGATGCAGTATGCATACATTTTGTAACTAAATAAACAGCGAATAGAAGGGGTATGTTCTTCAAGGACATGGGATCCATTCGATCATCTATTCAGTTGCAACCAACTACTGTTACTCTAACAGTTTTTGTTACTGAAAATTAAAAGTACTCCATTCTTGTAGACTTTAAGGACTATTGCTCTAGGTTCTATATAAGGGACCATTTTAAGTAAACTCGCAAAGATAAGGAACTATTTGGGGATTTTTCTCGGTGTGAATGTGTTAAAACTTTGTAAAATGAACAGATGTAAAAAGAAGAGAGGAAGTTACCATTAACAGTAGAAAAGATTATGTTGACGGTCTCCACATGAGGCAAGACTAGCAAAAGGCCAGTGACTCCAAACAAAATAAGCATATCCATGCAAATCCTCAATCTTTAGATATATGCACTTCATTTCAAGAATCTGCACTCCTTTTGAATTGCAACATGCACATGACCTATTGCAGTAATACCTATGAAACTAGTAAGGAATGGAACAAAGTATAATCAAACCCAAGCCACATATTATGACAGACGTATATAATTGTTGTCTTTATATAAAGTCATTAAAATTAGTGTAGTAAGAATTTTACCTCATTTTTCTCGGACTATCAATAAGCCGAAGTCAGGAAGTAGGAAAACGAAAGATCATATCCACCAATACTATCGCACAAGCTACAACTAAAATCAAAGAATTAAGAACCACCACAAAAAAAAAATCAAAATAATAATAAAATAACAAAAGATTAAGGAAAGTTAAGAGAACAAGAATGTTTTAGAAGAATACACAACTGTCACCATGCTTAAAATTAAAGCTTCATCACAAAGAAGTATTCAAAATCGATCATCTATAGATGTATTTCCAACTTCTCGTGAGGTGAAAAATTATGAAAGGAATGAAAGAAAATCAAATTAAAAATTATCAAATAAACTGAACGCAACGATTCACATCTATAAAAGAACTAATATCAGAAAATCATGAATAGGAAGAAAGAAAATTCGAATGAAAGCAATTATCGTGTAAAAATTGTGACAAAAAGATTCATGAAGTGATAGGTGGTTTACTACGCAGATGCTCTAAGATGAGAAAATAAGGTTGGTCGATAGGATAGGTAAGATAGATCTACAAGGCAGTTTAGTTTAGGAGATGTGTATATTTACATAGGCTAAAAGTATAAATGCCCTTGATGTGCATTTTATCATCAATAAGTGCTCATGACAAACTTGAAATCTTCATTCACCTTTCTATATAACACAAATTAAATTAAATGTGGAATTCATCTAATTCCGTTTTTCTTGATATATACTCCCTCCGTTTCACAAAGAATGACCTTCTTTCCTTTTTAGTCAGTTTCAAAAAAATGACCTCTTTCCTTTTTTGGTAACATTTTACTTTTTGCTTTCCACGTGGCATGTTTAAGACCACAAGATTAAGGGCAATTTTGTACATTTGACATAACTTTAATTTAGGACCACAAGATTCAAAAGTCTTCTTTAATTTCTTAAACTTTGTGCCAAGTCAAACCAGATCAATCTTTTTGAAACGGAGGGAGTATATATATATATATATATATGTGTGTGTGTGTGTTAAAAAGGAACCCCTGAAGGTTAACACTAAAGTGAGCATAGAAGGACGTGAAAGTTAATACTAAAGGAACATAGGAAGCTTTGAAAGTGAACATATAAAAAATAATCTTAATATGCAGTAACTTTGTACATCTATCCATAGATCGCATTAGCTAATATTTGCATGACATGTTCAAGAATTATGTAACATTTTCCACTATGTAACTTATCAACAAAAAAAAAAATAGTTCAAGAATATGATCACATCTATCATATAGACACAAAACTGGAAAGAGATCGACAAAAGAATGAAGCATGATTTTTCTGCAGCTTATGGAGAGAATATCAAACTATCAAAATTTTGTGGGAAAACAATAAGAATATCATGTATAGGTGTTTCAATCTTAAATCTTGGAATCTTTTCCATGTAAGACTGTTTTGATTGTTGTTAGGTCTATTCCATCCCCGTAAACATTAGTGTAGAACATAAGCAACACCGAAAACTTTCCACACTTATGATCGGACCTTAGCACCTATGGACAATTAGGAATCACCTAGTATGGACCCATTATACATGTATTAGATCATGCATAAGTAATACCATGTTTGGTAGTTGTTTAGGATTATGTATAAAATTAATACAATGTTTGGTTTGCAATTTAGAAACTTGCATAACTAATAAATGTACAAGTTATGAGGTAATCTATGTATAATTCTATGCAGGATAGAAGATGGAACAACTAATACATGAATAGCTAAACATTGCATAACTAATCTCTGCATAAAATAATACATAAATTTCCTCATAACTAATCCATGTATTACTAATACTTGTATAACACTAGCTAGCTACCAAACAACCCCTAAAGGTGTCGTGTGTACTAGATAACCTTAACTATAATATTACATGGACTAGAGAGTTTGAAACTAGATTCTGATATTAATGTAAGTTTGTTTCGATAATTGTATACATTCAAAATCTCAAATACTTATGACGAAAATCTTCAAAGGAAGAATAAAATTTCACTTTTCCTCCCATGATAGGGTAACCTGTAGACGTACAAGGATTCAATTTGAAACATACTTAGCCTCGAAATAAGAATAAAAATTAACATATGTAATAATAAAATCACATCTTTCTGTAAAGATAGAAATACATTATATGTTTCATATTGTAAGATTCTCATAGGCACCTGATGTGTACCGTGCCCTTTTTCTTATTTTTTTGATAACCGAGAAATCCGCTTGTGACCCACCGCCCTTTGGACCAATCACAGTCTTCTAAACTTGGTGGATAATGGGCCCGCTCCTCTACCCTTCTCTACTTAAATGCCGGGCTTCGCTTTGCATGGTGTGGGGCTTGAACCTATGACCTAAGTCACAAATCCTCAACCTTTTACCACTCGAGCTAGGCCTTGGGGGAAATGTACCGTTCCCTTTTGATTAGCCTACTTACTCTTACACTACAGTCATGTTGAACAATTCAGAACCTAACTATGAATTTAACAACTTAGTCATCGTATATTAGCACGATTCTTTTTGTTGTACATACTAGTTGAACTTTTTCTTTCATTAACACAGAAACATTATAGTGTTAACAATCTATAACCAAACATAATTTGAAAGAAAGAGAAATATCATTTCCCTGGACATTGGGGATCATAAGTGCACATGATAAAAAACAATGTGCATTTTTGGCATAAGACACTTAGTCATGCTTCATGTTATGTTTTCTCTTTCATTGCTACACATGTTAAAATCAATTCAAATGCCAACAACCACTTTTATCTAATAGCACAAAAGCTGGCCAATACTATAGCCAAACTCTCATGGATAAGTTTTTTCTGAGTACAAACGTGTAGCATCAACATCAAAAAATTCGATCTCACCAAACATGCATTCTCAAATGACACAAACTCAAGCAGCAACGATAACAGAGGTAAGTATAAGATATCAACCTACTGCAAGAACAGTGAAGAATCCCGTAATCCAACTTCTAGATGCATTTTCAGACTCAGTCCTTTGTTATGACGCTAGAAAAGGCACAATTCCTCTCAACAAAAGTGTGCAGACACTACTCATCCCCTGTAAATAGGACAAGTCAGACATATTTGTTTTCTCCTCATCTTTAGTATTTCCTCTTAATATGACATACTTGTTTGAAATTGCATTAAAGTAGAATATCGACACACATGGTAATTTATAATACCACTGACACATAAGCCAGATACTTCCCAATAGCATGCAGAAGAATGTGTTGTGTCTACTAAGCAAAGGCAGGTGAGTTTCCCCTTCATTGTAGCCTCATTTATACTAAGTCTAAAGTCCGCCTAAAAAAGACAACAACTAAATGAAATTTACGTCTTATATAACACTCAATAGCTCTTCAATGATTTTGGTCAACTAATAGCTATAACATTTAGTTTTCCAACACACAGACACGTGTGTTCACAAGTGTGTACACGCACGTAGAGATAGAGACTTCACTTCAATAGATTAATATCAAAGTCGAGAAATGAACATTGTAGAAAAAATGAGAAACAACGCAAATCTTTGAGTTGTTCATTTGCGAAATAGCAACAGAAAAAAATCATCTTACTTATCGTGCGACATATGTACTCATGGTCTCTGGAGAGTTCTAAGATAGATTTTCGAGGTATTTTAATTTCATCTTTATACTGGGAAGTGAACCAGCAATCTAAGTTGCTCGGACTCAAGTGCGGGTGTCCAATTTGGATGCGGATCTAGAGGTCGGAGCCTTCATGATCTAATTTTTAAGATTTGGAGATATGGATCCATGTATGGGCATAGGTGCGGAGATTCGCCTAAAAAATAATAAAAATATCTTAAAATAGAGTTATTAAACCTAAATTATCAGATATTATGTGGAGAACTTGAGGAGAATCCTAGAAGGAGATTAAAGGAAAAGGAGTGACATGGATATTTCTATATAAAAGGTATTTCATTTTCTTCAATTTCACCATAGCTTTTGTATTGACTAGGGGTGTACAAAACCGAACCGAGAACCGAACCAAACCGCAAATCGAATCAACCCGGAAAAAAAACCCGACTAGTGGTTTGGTTTGACTTGGTTTGGTTTTGAAAAATAAAACCCGACTATATTTGGGTTGGTTTGGTTTTAACTAAAAAAAACCAACCCGAGACCAAACCAACCCGAATTTATATATATAATTTTAAAATTTTATTTTATACATAAAAATATTTACTTTGATATAATTTTTAAATATTTCTTATACTTTTCCATAGTTTTTAATATTTAATATATTATTTCAAGTTTGAAACTTAGAATTATGAATGGGCCAATAAAGATTATAGTCCACATATGTTGGTAATTATAATAAAGCTTAAATCAAAATCAAATTAATACTAATGCAAAAAGAAAATCAATTCAACACTAAGAATGACAATAATATTGAATATTTGCTCTTTAGTTTTAGGGATAAGGGTCTGAAAAATACTCCAACTTTGGTCGGATTTGTTGTTGCGATACTAAACTTTCATAAGGACCTATTACCTCCCTAGACTATTTAATACCGTATCCAATAAAGATTATAGTCCACAGATGTTGGTAATTATAATAAAGCTTAAATCTAAATCAAATTAATACTAATGCAAAAAGAAAATCAATTCAACACTAAGAATGACAATAATATTGAATATTTGTTCTTTAGTTTTACATTGGTTTAGACAATTAAAATACATAATCTAATTTTAATTTCCTTTAAACTTAATTTTAGCATGATTTAGTACTTTTAAATTATGATCATTTTCATTATGACTTGTTAATTTGCAATATTTGTTTTACGCGATTTCATTATTATTATTTTTGTTGGATATTTTAGTGTCATTAATCATATTATATTGTGTTATATTTTTAAGAAACATCTTAAATAGTTGTATTTTGGTAGGACTAAGGAAATATTTGAAGTACAAGTTAATTATATGCTGTGTATGAATACTTTACCGGAAAAACCCGAAACAACCCGAAAAACCGAAAAACCCGAGGTTGAAAAACCCGAGTTTTATTGGTTTGGTTTGGTTTATAAATTTAAAAATCCGACCTAAATGGTTTGGTTTGATATTTGAAAAACCCGAACCAACCCGGCCATGTACACCCCTAGTATTGACTATAGAAATCATTAAAACTGTCCAAACTTTTCCCATCGGTTTTGGTCAAAGTACCCAAAATCAATTGACCAAATCGGACACAGATCCCACACCCACACCCATGTTGTGTCGACACGGGTGTGGCACCAAAAGTGAAGAGTCTGAGCAACTTAGCCAGCAATTGCAAAAGGCATTTCAGGCAATAAAAGAATTGAAATAAAGCGTGAATAGCCTCAAGGGTTGAGAAACAATGAAGTTCCATTTTCCAAATAATATGTTGTATTAACTTGTTAGTGGTTTAATAACTCTATTTAAAAAAGATGTGTTGTATGTAAAGCTGAGAGATAATTGATCACAGTTAGGCAAAAGAGTCCAGTCATAATGTTCAATAGTGATATCGCAAAGCATTAAATTTAAAAGGTAACTTGAGTGTGTGTATATATATATATATAAAAGAATAATTTAGAGTGCGAGCTTATGAAGTGATTCATACAACTTTGGCAGGTTTGTTGCTCTGTATTGATATGGTAATTATTTGAGAAAAGGTTGAATAAGATACTGATGATATGAGGCTACGGAACTACCTTTGGAGCAATTACGTGTCACCATATCCCCAAAACTTAAGTAATTTGTTGCCAACAGATTCTTCGAAAGCACAGCCCAAAAAAAAGAATGCTTAGCTTGCACGCCATACACTATTTGAAGCCTAACATCATTTTCCATCAGACGAATTCTCAGCTCTTCCTTTTGCTTCAGTTCATTAACAGAGCTCCATGCTTCTCTGTCAGACACTTCTTCACATCACAATACATACCCACCTAGAGGCTGCCAATTAATATCACATAGATGAAGTCCATAAAAAGAGTAAACATCTCTAGTATTTTGTAATGCAGAGACTCAAAATTGCAAAAGGAGAAAAGAGTGAGCATAAAGCATACCTCCCCGGATCATCTAAATGAAGATCCAATAAAAACAACAATGAGATTCTAAAATATGATATTGACACAAATATTATTTTGTTGCTCTAACAGGGCAAACCTAAATTATAGAAAATGAATTCAATTGAGTCCCCTTCGTTGAAAGTTACATTGTGCAAGTAGAGCAAAAATTCTTCAACTTCAATGATAAGGGGGAAAGCAAGCACGTCCTAATCTTTAAAAAGACAAGTATACCTATAATTTTACAGCGAGGGAATGTATTGTTTTGTAAGGTCAATATGGAATAGAAGAAAATAGCTACATTGGAAAGAAAAATCTAGTAATTTGAAGATGAGTTACTTCTTTCACACACAAAAAAATCCTTTGTGCAAGAAGAGATATAAAAGCACATGATTTATCAAGCTAAGAATAAAAGTAGAGAATCATGTAACTAATTTTCTACTGCAAAGACTAAGAAGGAATTTCTTCTTACAAAAAGTAGTATTAAAGCTTTGCTTTATACTAATAGAAACATAGGGTATGACTTATGATTTTTCCTCCTCGAGAGAAGATCACCAAGAATAAGATTCTCACTTATTAAATATGTATAGATTATAGCAGTGTACACCTCTATCTTTTTTTTGAACTTGGTAACTTTGTATTATATCACAAAACAATCCATGGGTTGTATTGTAATCTTATATACAAGTGTACTCCTGATTTCACTTCTCTATGTCTAAATTGAGTCTAGCACATCAATAATAGTCACAGTGTCATTAGAGTATAATGATTACACCAAAAGACCAAGTAAAATGCAGTTTAGTTTAACTTTCTGCACATTGTTCTCTATACTTTCAAAACATCTTGAATTCCTTTCTTTCCAAACAGCCCACCAGATTACCTCCCGAATAACTCTCAATCTACCTTTGTCCTTACCATGTACACCTTCTTCCTCCCAGCATAGTAATGCCTCAGCCACCTTCCTAGGCATAGTCCAGGAAATGCCTCTGAGACTTAGGAATATTCTCCATAGATGATGGGTGTACTTGCAACGTAAAAATTGATGGTTAATAGTCTCAGATGTTTCACCACATAGGAAACACCTGAAACACAAGGTTATCCCCCTCTTCATAACACTGTCCTATGTAAGAACTGCTTCCTTAGCCATTGACCAGACAAAAAAGGAAACTTTGTGAGGGATTTTACCCTTCTATATTTGCTTCCAAGGCCAACTTGAGCACCGTTGATCTGTCTGATCCATCAACTTGTAGGCTTTGTTGACTTTTAACACTCCCTTGTCATCTCCTGTCCACCACAATTTACCCTCTCATGTGGCTGTCTGTAGTCCAGCGAAAGTGTCCACAGTGTTTAAAAATTTAGCTCATTATTTCCCAATCATTAAGATTTCTTCTGAAAGTGAAATTACATCCTTGTGGTGACCATAGATCTGCTATAGTGCACTGTTGAAACATGATTAGGTTGTAGATGTCTGGAAAGAGATCTTCCATGTTGCCTTTCTCATGCCAAATGTCCTTTCAAAATCTGGTCTTACTCCCATCCATTACTTTTGCCTTCAAGTTATCCACAAGATTCTGATGGACCTCCAGAGGCTAACCCCTTAAGGAGTGGTTACTTCTTTAGTTATCTAGTTGTCCTCTTCTTCATATTTAGCTCCAATTACTTTCCTCCATAGCATCTGGTTGTTGTTTGCATGCTTCCACAACCACTTCATACTAAGAGTATTGCTTTGCAATTTCAGATTTTTTATTCCTAGACCTCCATTTTTCTTGCTTGTCATGACTTCCTCCCATTAAACCAAATGGAAGCTTTTCTTTTCTTTGTTGCCTTGCCACAAAAAATTCCTCCTGATACGATCCAACCTTTTAGTGACCTTAGTTGGGATAGGAAACAAAGACATTATATAGGTTGGCAAAGCATTAAGTACTGAGTTAATAAGGGTCAGTCGGTCAGTACTGAGACTTCCACTTGGCCAATTTCTTCTCACACTTCTCAACCACGCTACTCCATATGTCTATGGGCTTGGATTTGTCCCCCAAAAGCATTTCCAAGTATATAGTAGGCAGAACTCCTATCTCACCACCTAGAATTGATGTTAAACAACACATGTTGTTTATTTCATTTATAGGATACATTACACTCTTCCTTCAATTGATATGCAAACCAGATATACCTTCAAATAAGACCAGAATCACTTTTAGATACTTCAGTTGTTCCTCCTCAGTATCATAGAAAATCAGGGTATCATCTGCATATTGCAAGTGTATCACTTCTAGTCTCTCAACACCTTCTCTGGCCACATGAAAACCCCTTAACCACCCTCTCAAGTTAGCAGTTTTTATCATGTTGTTTAAACCCTCCATAGTGATCACAAACAAAAAAGGTGACAAGGGAGCACCTTGCCTGAGACCTCTTTGGGTTTGAAAGAAACCTGCAGGGGAGTTCGAAACTTAAATAAGCCACAAAAAGATAAAAGTGACCAAAATAAGCCACTATTTTAGTAAGTAACTAAAATAGGCTTAGTGGAAGAAAAAATTCCATTTTACGCAATATTCCAAACGTTTTCCGTTTGTGTCATAATGTGTATATTTTAATATATAACGGAACTATTTCTTACACTTTGTAAAGTGGAAGTTTTTCTTACACTTTATAAAGTGGAAGAAAAAATTATGTTTTACAAAGAGGAATATTTTTCACGTTCTCTTTATGAAGCTTTTACAGTGTTTGTCATAAAATTATATTGATTTTACATATCATTAAAACGGTAAAAATTATTACACTATGTATTTTTATTTTTTTATTCTGAAAACTCCTCCAAGCTCTATTTAAGGACGTTCAAACATAGTACCTTCAACATCTTTAGTCTTCTATTTTTCTTCATTTCAATCAACAAAAAAAATGTCTTCTAAAACCAAAAGTTAGAGTTTTTGATTTATTGGGATGGCGAAATTATACATGACGAAAATATTGTTTATTATAATTGTCTTTCTAAACACAATGCTAAATATTTAATTAATGTCCGATATCATAAATTTCTTTCATCAATTTATAAAAGAATGGGTATAAATAGTACTGATTATAATTTGATTATAGTCGGAAAATACCCTACTTCATTTTTGTCACAAGGACAAGTAAATTTTGGAGAGTGAATTATCTATCATGACGAATCGTTGACTGACTTTTTGAGGGTTCCAAATGACTTCATAGATCAAATCAAGTTAAGATTTTATGATACATAATGTAATAATTTTTTCCTTAAATAGAGCTTGGAGGAGTTTTCAGAATAAAAAAATAAAATACATAATGTAATAATTTTTTCCGTTTTATGATATGTCAAATCAATATAATTGTATGACAAACACTACAAAAGCTTCATAAAAAGATACAATTTAATGCAAAACGTGAAAAATATTCCTCGTAAAACATAATTTTTTCTTCCACTTTATAAAGTGTAAGAAAAACTTCTACTTTACGAATTGTAAGAAAAACTTACACTTTACAAAGTGTAAGAAATAGTTCTGTTATTTATTAAAATATACCCGTTATGAGACTAACAAAAAACATTTGGAATATTTCATAAAACGAAATTCTCATTGCGTCCACCACTCGAGAACATATCTCCATTTAATAATGTCAGGACTTCTGCGAAAACTCTCTATGCCTCGAGGCACAAACCGTACTTTATATCTTACGATTATACTTTTGCGCAATGATTCATTTGTACCCCACTGACATATATTTTGATCTCTGAACTATAAGTTCAAAAACATCACTTTTCTTAGTGAAACAAAATATACTTGAATAGTGCATTTTATTTGGCCAATCATTTATCTGTCCACATACACTATATGACAAATTCAAATTTAAGATCCTCGTAATCACTTATAGCATTGAGTGCTACTTCATATTAAAGATACCGTCGATGGTCATTTTAATTCGATTCCAATTCGACATAACTTATCGAGATCTCTTCATTTTTCATCATTTTCAGGTACCTGAACCTTTGACAAGGTTTTATTAAGTGTTATGTCATAGTGCTCTTTCAAAGCACTTACATCATTATCATGACCATTTTGATAATTTGCTCCTCTCCTTCTTCAAGGAATTTTACATTTGGAATAGATTGGTCTATCACGCTTATGGCGTACCATAGACTCTGTCCTTCAAGGCTTATTTATTGGAGCATTTGCAGATTAATTAAAATATTGGGTCATCAAATAATTTTGCAAATGAATTACCTCTTGAACTTCAAGTTCACATTTTTTTTAACGAGGATCTAGATAATTTACCTCACACATAATTTTCAGCTGCTAAACACATCTCCCCATAATGTTAGGAAATCTAACATTTACCCCCAATCTTATTTGGAGATCCATCTTTGTGCGTGGTGGAGCAATAAAATCATATGTGCACACATCAAATTTTTAGATGGAAATTATTTGGTTCCTGACCCTGAACCAATTGTGATGGGAGAACCTTGTTGACTTGATGCATACATGTTAAATAAACTCATCCCATTACCAAATTTTATTTGAGAGATTTGTTCTCATAATCAATGTTCTAGCTATAATTGGAGGCAGACAATTTCTGAACCAACTAGTATTATCACCATAATTTTATAGTTTGAAACTGTGCTCTTAATTTAACAATTGGAGCAAACAATCTTATAGAAACTAATTTGTAAGTTGATACAAATTCACATGTGACCATACCATAGATGCATCTATTAAATCATAATAATAAGCGGTCCACATGGCAGGTGAACGGGCTCATATTCACCTTTTTTATATGTTCCAAATAATTTCAAGGGATACAATCCCAACCTTAGCTGGTACAAAGATCATTTTATCATGAGAACAAGCAACACATGAGAATTTTTTTGCTATAATTGGAGGCAGACAATTTCTGAACCAACTAGTATTATCACCATAATTTTATAGTTTGAAACTGTGCTCTTAATTTAACAATTGGAGCAAACAATCTTATAGAAACTAATTTGTAAGTT